TCCTCTTTCCATTACCATTATGTGATGTTGCAGGCTTCAGTCATGGAATGGTAATAGCGCCCTCCATGGTTGGTCAGCATTTTAAAGTGGAGCCTCTGATGCAGTAAACACAACAGAAATTCCTCCTGCCAGGATTCCTAGGTGAAACCAATCAATGTCATCAAGTTCTGTCAATTTTATTCCATTGTTAACCCTGAAGTTTCCAGGTTATTTTGTACCATCTCACAGCCGAGATCTTGGCCACCCCATGCCCAATTTTCTTTCAAAACTCGGCATGCATGTAAAACACTCCTAATTCAAAACAGATGTGGAGTTTTAAATCAATGTGATATACAACTTAAAGTTGATACGGTCACTTGAAGTTGAAGGTTACAAGCGTACCAGCCACTGTGTGCACTCAGCCCAGCAGTTGAAAGTGCGGGTACGTTTTTTTGGGTTGACCTGTTTCAGGAAAGTGGGTGCTGCATGAGAACAGTTCATGTGATTTTCACAGAACTGCTGTCAAGGTGACTGTAAAAAGCTGCTACATGAAACTAAAGTCTTAGCTCGTAAAAATATGGAAAAGTATGGCTGTCCTCTTTCACGTGGCCAAGCGGTTAGGGTCTATGGTATCCAATCATAGGGTTGAAGGTTCGAATCGAGCTGCTGGCAGTACGCTGTGGCCCTTGGCAAGCCACTTCACCCCTGCTTGCCTCTCTCCACCCAGGAGTATAAATGGGTACCAGCATTAGCTGGGAAGCAACCAGTAATTGATTGGCATCCCATCCAAGGGGGAAAAGAAATATTCTCAATCATTTCGTGCCAAGGAAACTGCAAATAAACACCAGCCTGATGAGCTTTCAGGAAAAAGGGGTGCTTGTAACGAGAAAGATACATGGATCACGAAAATGTAGGAGCCATCATAGGGCTCCGTGATCTGTCCGGATTGTGACTTTTCTCCTGTAGATGTAGGATTGGAACTGCTTCAGGAATACAACAATGGCCAAAAGTTCCCTACGTGTCACACAGTATTTTCTTTCGGGCTTACTCAGAACTCGGCTACCATAGGCCATGACCCTCTCCTGACCATCAACTACCTGTGAGAGGACACCGCCTATCCCGACGTTACTGGCATCAGTATCAAGTATGTAGTCTCCCTCCGGAGTAAGATATGCTAGGATACGTGCTTCCTGTAAGAACTTCTTTAACATTTCAAATGCATCCTCACACTGATCATCCCACACGAACTCTTTTCCCTTCTCCGTTAGGCGATGTAGTGGTTGAGGTTTATCCGCAAAGCCTCTGACAAAACATCTGTAGTAGGACGCCAGCCCTAAAAAGCTCTGTACTTTGGCAACTGTAGTAGGTGTAGGCCAATCTTGCACTACCTTGGTCTTCTTGGGATCTGTTGCAACACCTTGGTTGGATACAATGTGCCCAAGGTACAGCTCACTCTTCTTAAAGAGCTCACATTTCTTCGGTTTGAGTATTAACCCGGCATTACGAAGGCACTGGAACACGACCTTTAGGCAATTCAACTCTCCTTGTACCGTCTTTGAAAAGATGATGATGTCGTCAAGATAAACCAGCAATATTTCCCATTGTAGGCCAGCGAGCACTCGCTCCATCAGCCTCTCAAAGGTCGAAAGAGCATTGCAGAGACCGAAGGGCATGACCCACTAACAGTAAAGGCCTCCGCGCACGACAAATGTTGTCTTCTTATGTCCGTCTTCGTCAATCTCTACCTGGCAATACCCTGCAACAAGATCTAAAGTGGAAAACCACTCTGTGCCTGATAAGGTGTCCAACGAATCATCAATTCATGGTACAGGGTAAGCGTCCTTCACGGTCAGTGCATTGAGGCGGCGATAATCTATACAAAACCTTTTCGTTCCGTCTTTTTTCGGAACAAGCACTACGTTTGCCGCCCAGGGGTTATCACAAGGCTGGACTTTCCCATCGTTCAGAAGATTCTTAACTTGGCAAGCTATTTCTTCCTGCTCTATAGGTGAATGTCTCCTCAGCCT